TATATATATATATATACATATATGATTTTATTTGTAGAATTTTTTTGCAGTTTAATTGTGTACGCACAAACGAGGGAGTCTTGTATATGCGTAAACGAGAAGCATGAATAATTAAATGGAAAGATAGAGACACAAGCGTTTAAAATTATGTACAGCTTTTCTTCAAAGAACAAAGTAGAAAGCGTGAAAATTTCACTTAAAAATCAAGACTTTTAAAACAAAATTTCTCACTTTACGTCATTATATCTTTGTACGCGTTATTGGAATAAAAATGTTTTTTTACCAATTTAGTTTGTAATTCATTTGTGTGTCTCTACTCCGTTATGTCTGTATTTGAAATGAGGTGATGAAGAAGGTAAAAAGGACGGAACTTACGGGATGTTTCAGTGGGCGTGCGGGGGTGACTGGAGTGATGGGATGGGGCCAGAGCCCCATGGAGTTCGGGTAGACCCGTCTCCGGCCCAGCTCCCCAGCCCCCTCCGCCATCGATATCGACATCGCTCCTGCCAGCGACGCAGAGGGCCGCCTCGATCGCGATGGAGGCCTCTAGCAATCAACAACAAAAAGAGAAGGAGCCACGCGTTCACAGGCCTTACGCCTTCGACAAGGTACATTCTTTTCCCGCGCGAATAAATCATTTCCAATCGCCAATCGCGGCGTTATTACAAACGTAATAGTCGCATTCAACAGAAGAAGCAGTTTTGCAACTGTTGTATAATTCTTTAATGATTGATTTATACATTTAGATCCATTGAAGAACTAAGAGTAAATTAAATCTAATCATATTAAAGAATTTTACAACAGTAAAGTTGCAAAGCTACTTTTCTTTTTGCTGAGTACATCCAATGACTAAACGTCTCTAATGAACTCTAATAATAATCGTTTCGTCGCGTTAATCTCTGGTGCAGATGGAGGGGCTGGTGCGGGAGATGCAAGACCCTGAGAGCGGGGTACCCGTGCGCAGCCAAAAACAATTTCTCACCTCGATACCTTCAGCGTTCATGGGTGAGTGCCATCGGTACCTGCGTTGTGGAGTAAGCGTAAGCGGCCATCACGGCCAGGACACTACAGTAGGCTGCCTGCGTGTTGCAGGTTACGACCTCATCGAGTGGCTGATGGAGCGGCTTGCCATCGAAGAATCAGGTACGGGCTCGTATGTCTACTACTGATCGGCTGCTCTCCGCTGCTGTGCCATTCTGCCATTCTGTTCCCTCGCTCGCTCGCTCGCTCGCTCATTCGCTCAGTTCGACTCGGCTCGATGTCCTCCTCCCAACACGCGCAACCATAACGCTCTGCCTGAGGATGCTAATGAATACTATCGATATAGTTTCGCTTCGCAGTATCCATTTGCATTGATACTTTTCGCTTTGGTGCCTTTAAAGAGTATCGATTACATACTAACACGTCACACTACACAGAATATCCTTTTTCATTCAAGTCGAATATGAATTATGTACGGTTATTGAAAAGATATGAGATTAATGACGAGGAGAACTCGCGAATTTACAGCTGAGCAACGGTAAATATTCTCGCGGATTTTATTTTCTGGATTTCGTTCAGTTTTTTTCTCCCCTCGTGCAAATGAAGACCGTAAATTACACTCCTGTTCCGTCGCGAAGCGAGCGTAATTCGTGTCAAATGCATTTAGAGAATAAATGTTTTCGTAACTCTGAGAAGTTCGCGGATAATATTTATAAAAATACAGTGGATATTTATATATTATAGTTTAATTAGCTAAAAAAGTCAAATTAATCATTCGTTATTAATCATCTTGGAGAGAGAGAGAGAGAGAGAGAGAGAGAGAGAGAGAGAGAGAGAGGGAAAGAGGGAGAAAGGAAAAAAAGAAAAGGAGAGCGAGCTGATGTCCTCTTCGAAGAAAGATCATCAAAAGCAACATACAATCAATTTCCTAAAAATAACAAAAACTAAAATTTATTATGGGCATTTCTCGACGTATACGTCCGTTAGAAAAACTGTAAGAACAGACAACCAAAATACGACACAGAGCAATGTGGCATCGTTTGAGTGATCTGCACGACCCTAAGCAACACTAAGCGATCCTTAGAGACACTTCTGTCGATATAAGCATTTCTTCAGATATCAAGATGCATTATTGTGTTTGACAGTAGAGGCGGTCCATATTGCTAATCAACTATGCCAGTATGGCTACTTCTTCCCGGTGAATGACTCCAAGACACTTACTGTTAAGGACGATAGCTCTCTATATAGGTTTCAGGTGAGTCGTATATTCGAAAGTAATGAAAGAGTAAAATTTCCAATTTATCCAAAATCTTTTTAATTTTCATACAAAAAATTGATACGCGTAGACACCCTATTATTGGCCGTGGCAACATAGAACCCCCGACAACGTGGAGTACGCGATCTATCTGGCTAAACGAACTCTGAGGAACAAACAACGTCACGCTCTTGAGGATTATGAGATCGTATGTAAAATCACGTCGCTAACGCGAAAACGCGTCGAAAAAATTTATTTAAAGACTTTCTTTCCTAAAGAAACCTATAACGTAAAAGAAAACCGTACTATCTCTTTAGGAAGCTTTGAATAGCCTGCGTAAGAACTTGCAGAACAAGTGGGACATAATACAATTACAAGCGGAAGAACAGGTGAATAACTATTCGTTATTATCGCATTTAATTTTCAATAGTATATCGCAAGTATTGTCCCATGTAAATATCAATTCCGCATATTCGAGCACGTGACTCCTTGAAATGCTGCTGATTGTGTGGGTTCAGGTACGCTTATCTAAGGAGCGCAAGAAAGGTGACAAGATTGTGAGCGATTCGCAGGAACGAGCATTTTGGAGAGTATATCGGCCACCACCTGGTTGTCTGAGTAGCCTGGAAGTCGTGCCCGTATCCACTCGTTTTCGTCCTGGACTTCCACGACCTCCGTCACGTAAACGCACTCTCACCGATCTGCAACGTGAGGTGAGTGCCAATCTATATCGGGGGATTGGCATTCCCACTCTTTTAAATCTCCGATTTATATATACCCGTATATAATTTTAATAGGTGGCCCTTCTACGGAACAGTTTGATACGCACGAGGATAAAAGTTTCGACTGCGATCGAAAATTTGAAATCATATTTCGAAACGTACGTGGAATACGATCCAATGTTCGTACAACCGCAACCTTCCAATCCATGGATCACCGACGATCATACGTTTTGGCAATTGAATAATAGCTTGTAAGTAATGAAAATCGGATACCTTATCTATGGAACGCGACAAATTTGATAATATATTTTATATGTCTAGAGTGGACGTTCCTACAGAAAAACGTGTTAAACGATGGGGGCTGTCGATGGAAGAACTTATGTCTGATCCTACAGGTAAACTTTTCGATCGCATTAATAGAACATAGTTCATTCCGCTAGCAAACTCACAAGCACTATTCTGCCGCAACAGGTTTACAAGAATTCACAAATTATTTAAGAAAGGAGTACAGCCACGAGAATATAAGATTTTGGCTGGCGGTCAAAGATCTCAGGCATAGTTTTCAAGCACAAATACCTGACAAAGTCAACGAAATTTTTAGGTACGTGTATGTTACGCTATTTCGATCTGTAAAAAATAATCTATTCGTAACGTTTCGGAAATTCACGCAGAGAATTCCTGGCACCTGGAGCTCCGTGCGAAATCAATATAGACGGGAAAACGATGGAGAGGATTCATCAGGAAATGAAAAATCCAAGCAGATTTACATTTGATTCCGCCGCGGAGCATGTATATACGCTACTGCTAAAGAAGGACTGCTACCCTAGATTTATTCGTTCCGATCAATATCGTAATCTCTTAGCTGCCGGCGTGCAACCTTTGCAGAAGAAGAGGTGAGCCTCTCATCGAATTATACGAAAAGATGGTCTTGCTGAAATATCTAAGAATTTAGCTGAATCTAAAATTGTCAGGCCATCAAAATAATTTTGTAAGATGCTCAAATTAATCATTAAAATGTCAAAACTTTTTACATTGCTCATCATGCTTGACGTTCCTACGTTATTTTTATAATCCAACAAAATTATTTTCAGATCTAGCTAAACTTTTAGATTATTCAACAAAATCTTTCCGTATACGTGTACATATCGTATTATAATAAGTTCACAATTGCGTAAGCATGATGTAAATAATTGTAGTTGTAAAGTGGGCCTTAGTCCCAAAATACACGCATCGAAGCGCCTTGTTTGTTTTTTCCAGATTTTTCGGCTTCGGTGGCCAAGCAAAGAAGAAAGTTTCCTCCACTTCGACACCAACGTCTAGCACTTTGCAGCACGCTAATATAGGTAGTGGCGGCAGACGAAGAGGAAGCGACCGGAGTCTATCTGGAAGCGCCCACGAGCTCGCGGTGTGCGGCGTCCGTGACGTCAGTTCCGCGCCGCGTGTTCCGCACTCCCACAGCCAGTCGAATCTCACCGACATTCCATACAGGTATGCGGGAGTTGGGAGGATCCAGAGAGTGATTCCCGAGAGAGTACCATATATCTGTCCTATGTTGTCCGGCGAAATACGGCTATTCTTGCGCTTTTAGCATGTTATCCATACGCGCGATATCGGGTGGACATGGCCGATGATAGGCTTATTCGTGCGCGTCGTATTTTCAGGGGAGATCTACCACGACTCGTAAAGATACCTTCGAGGCCTAGTCCACGTAGTATTCAGTAAGTCACCCCCGATACATACCACGGTTTTCTCAATTAAGTGTAGGAGCGGACGGCGCGCGCGGAACGCATACAGAACTATAAGAGACCCTCTATTTAATAACAGTCTGGATACGAGCCGTAGTTTTATATGTAAAATAATAATTTTAAAAAGAGAGAAAGGGAGACCTACATTTACTATTTCTTTTTCTTTCTCATTCTGTCTTATCTTTTTTTTATGTATTTCTCCTTCCCCCCCCCCCTCTCTCTTTCTCTTAGGAATTATTAAAGTATGGCGGATCAATTAAAAGTGGCTTTCTTCTGTTCAGACTCTTATTAGAGTAAGTCTCTACACAGAAGAGACTTGTTACTCGCATTCCTTTCGTGTTCCCGTAACACGTGCCAGCTCTCGCGTATTTTAAAATAACGATCGAGCAATAACGAGTCCGGTCCGAGATACACGAAGGGAGCATAGTATGAGTTATTAACGCGCTCCGTTGCACCGTGCGCTCCACTATATCTTCGTATCAGATTTTGGCAGACCCTCCTATCTCGGTGTGTTTGAAAATTTTCGCACTCTCAAAGAAATCATTTTATGAAAAACTCACCAAAATGTGTGTAAAGCGTGTATCATTGATAATAGTATTGTATGACAATATGCCCGTTCCTTGATAAATTTCAGTGTTTCTGAATATTATCAAATACTATCCTACGTGGAGTGTCTCAAAAACTCACTTCTGAATCATATTATATTCTCTTTTAATATCAAATAAAAAAAAACAAAGGAAAAACAATTCTTATTGACTAGTTATCGTATTTTGAGACACTCTGTATAATTGTCTTGATGTCGATATTGTGTCGTCCGTATCAAGCTTACTATACCTCTGTACTCATATATCTCTGTAATATTTTATGTAACACATTACCTGTACGTACGATACTTGTCGAGCACATTATTTGCACAGCAAGGAAAGTATGTACCAACTCTTTTCACGTTATAAAATTTTTTTTATGATTTACATTTTCTGATGTTCGATGCATAGAAAAAAACGTTTTTACTGAAGTCTACAAATCTAAAAATTTAGCTAAATACTGATCTGAAAATAATTTTGTTGTTCCATCAAAATAATTATGTAGAACGCTTAAACGTTAATTACAATGTTGCAAACAGTTTTAACACGCTAGTAATTTGCAATGTAAGCGTGCCACGTTATTTTGACCATCCAAACAAAATTATTTTCAGATTTGCATTTAATTAAATTTTTAGATACTTCAGCAAAACCATTCTTTTCGTGTAAATGTTTATCCAATGTTAAAACCCTGCGACTACTCGAATGCGCGACAAGGATTCTGAGGATTGAAACGATCCCATGACAAAATAAATCGCCCAAAGTCTCCTGCGAGACGCCCCGGAATTATTCGTTTTTGCATCGCTACTTTTTAAGCGAGAATAATTCCGGGAGATTCTTATAATATTTATATGTATATATAAAGACTTACATTTTCCCTAGTCGTTGAATGGAGTCGCATGCATGTAATCGACTGACGTTGATAAAAGACACATACATATATACGCAGAACACACGAAACACGCACACGAAGCGCGTGGTACCTTCTGCCGAAAGCAAACGGTGAAAACTAAATATAATAAAGTTCCTGTTGTCAGGGATGCTGGCGCGACGGAAGTGGCAGTTCGCCCTATGGACGACGTGTGCCCGTGGGAGGCCGTGCCGGGTCCGAGCACGGAGCATGGGACAACGGGAGACACCGTGTCCTCTGGAAAGACAGTGTCAGCTGATCAGGCCCGACACGTGTGGGACAGTGGCGGTCACGGGATGACCGCACATTCCGTCGAGGCGCGTGTCTCCCGGAAGAATTCGGCACAGTTGGACTCGTGCAGCTCGTCGTCGGATGTCAGCCTTGCTATCGCGGACGTCTCCGAACGGTTGCGGAAGTCGTGTAGTTTGCAGCATAGCGGTAGCATAGGTCGGTATACAACTGAACAATTCATTGGATGCGTTCAGTGAACATAACGACTCAGTAATTGTTGCCAGTGTTTGGAGTTGATTTAAGGAATGTTGCTTTTAACAACTTCGAAGATTGGAAACTTTAAAAGAATTCAAATCTTCGAAGTTAATAATTTGAACTTCTTCCAAGTTTAAGATGCCTTCGACATTTCGAAAAATATATTTGTGCAATTAAAAAGAATAAAAATATATTCGTAATATATTCTAACCTACTTGTATATGGAAAATTTATTTATGAAATTATTTATTTATTTTATGAAATTATATTCGTTTTACGATTAATTATATTAAATTGATAATTGTATAAAATTATTAATTAATTAAATAAATAAAATTAATAGTAAAACGAATTAATAATAATTAATAATAATTGTATAATTTTTCATTCTTTGAAATTTCAAAGATTGAAATATCAAAATTTCGAAGCTTCGAATGTCGAAGTCTTTGAAGCAAATCACCAACCACAGACCTTTAAATCCATAAGATAAATCTAGAAAAATATATACCAATAACAGTGCTCATTCAACGTTGTGTTTGCTGAACACACTCAATAAAAAAGAAGACATGAAAAGTAAAGTTTATCTTTAAATATCGTCTCCTTTTCTGTTTTCAAAACACTCAGGTACATCGACTTCAGGCCCGATAACGCGAAATTATTCTACCTGCTCAGCGAGCGGTCGTATCAGGCTGGCCGAGATAGGTCGTATATCCGTGTCATCCTGTAATTATCCGTCGCCCCAACAGTCATTCGAGTACTCCCACGCGGTGGTCGAAAAGGTGGAAGAGAGATCATCTCTGGAGAAGATCGTACCCGAGGAGGAAACTGTCGCGGAAGCCGTCGTCGTCAAGGAGAGCCAGTCGAGTCCTAAGTAAGTTATTATGAGATATATCCGGACGGTATTTCGACTACGATCGAGAAACGAAATCCCGTTCCTGTTCTCAGGACGAGCGCGAAGGCGCCCTTGATCAGCATCAGCGCGATCGTAGGCGATCTACCAAGTGACAATTCCACGATGGAGAACGTCGACGAGGATGCGAGCGAAAGCTGCACGGCAAAGGATGCGGGAGAGATCGTCGGTGAGGAGAAAACAAAAGGCGAGGACTCGCGGGCCGACACCGGGACGGACGTGTCACCGGTGGCCGAGGAACCGGCGACGACCGAGATGCTGCCCGAGGAAGCGCAGGTCGTACCTGTCTGGGAACCGGACGCCCAACAGGAGGATCGACCGGCGGCGGCGATGGCAGCGGCGGCGGCGGCGGCGGCGGCGACGGCGCAGGCAGAGCCTCGGGAGAAGCGTGACAATAATGTTAACGAAGTATGCCCGTGGGAGGACGAGTAAGTACCTGACCCGACCTAAACCGCTTACGCTTGCTGTCGCGACGATCGCTTCCAAAAGTTTCTCTCACCGTACTCAAGTAATAACCTCGTAATAATGTTCTTATTCGTACGGAGCGCTCACTGTCTGTTTCAGGGAAAACTGTAGAGTGGATGCACCCTATGTAAAAACTTATGCGACTTTAGGTTACTTGTAATTTGTCGTTGATATTAAATCTTGCATTTTACATTTACAACATTCACAAATTCGATTTCCACTTTAATCCACTTTACTGATCTCGCGTGTCCAGACCCTTGCGCGACGAAGCTTCGATCGCTTCCTTAATTAAGCAAAGACACAAAGCATTTTTTTGAGAACAAACTTACGCGGAAGGATTTAATAAGACGAGTGCGCTTGCAGTCACACGACTACTGATACTATTCAAATGCTGCAAACGGATTTTCACGATATTGCGTCGGTAATCATGATGTTGCGTGCAATGACAAAGATTGCGACAGTTCGTTCAATAGAATCGATAACGCGAAAATATGTATATCGCGAGACGAAAAACGAGCATCGACGTCTTTAACATTGCATCGAGTAACTGTACTTATATTATACGTATGGCCTAACGATCAGATTCGTTTGCTCGAGATTATTAGAATCAGTGATGGATTCTGATTAAATCTTGATGCATAATCAAGGACTTAGAGTCCTTGACTCTTTTATCCTTTCCGATTACTAGAGTTATTTAATCTGTACTGTTTATACCATCGTCGGTATACGTGAGTAATATTGAAAAAAAATGCACAAGAATTATTTGTGAAGGAAAGGGATTGGGCGTTATTGTTTAAAAATTAGAGTGCAGTCTCCAATGTTGTTCGTAGATAAACGTAGATTAATGTAGACTAGCAACCTAGAAGATGTGATAAGTAGCGATAGATCGTGTTCTTTCTCTCTCTCTCTCTGTGTTGAGTAAAAGTTTCAACGGTGACGTGTGTTTGCCGAGCAAAAGTAATAAAATAAATTCGAGTGCGCGGATTGGGAACTCGTTATGCTCAGTTCGTATCACGTGCAAACGCACGCTCGTAGAGTGCTAGCCAAACTTGAGCCATTTGGCCGCTCTCCATGGTCGCGCTTTTCCCAGATACTCACTTTTCCGCGAGTCACACCTCGCGAAACTTTACGTTCCGATATTCCCGAAGTCTACGTTACAGAACGCGATTTCGCCCTTAAAGACGTAAGTCGTTCTCCAATTCACCAAACTTCGCGATTGACGATGTTATCCTCTGATAACATCGCAATTATTTTTAAAGTATCTTGTTTACTCCCGAGATACATTTTGTATCCCAATACGCGGCGCGTATACATTATTTAAAAGTGCACGTCTCCGTCTTACTTATTAGATTTATCGCCTAGAGTTAGCGTGTCTTATACGCAGTGTCTTACGAGCGTTCGATATTAATTATTGACAAATTATCGTGACCTGATATATCTTAAGTGTCTATTTCATGTTATATACCATAGTTCGCCATTTGTCGTAATCGCGTCGAGTTGATTAATCGATGGCGATTACGGTGATTTTATGGCGTTTTACTCGTTGAGCCTCGCTTGAGCGAGTTGCGAATTAATGATAAAAAAAAAAAGAATAAAAAATATTCGCGCGGATCTAAATGATATTGATGTCGGAATGCCCGTTGCTATCGGATCTCTGATTCTGTTACTGCCCCAGGATCTCCGATCTGATGCTAAAAGATCGAAGGAGAGGCTACTTAAATACAATTGTGCTCTTATCTGTATTTTATCGATGTCTTTTCGTGTTATAGTTTTAAGATTAAAATGATATAATAATTATTAACATTAACGACGACATGTTTGTCTCTTCACTCACGAACTTTACGACGATTCTGACGGCCAAACTCTCGTTTTTTCTCAACGAGAGGAAAGGATAATTTAACTGACAGAAACGAAGAACGATCGCCTAATTCCTGTACTTTACACGAAAAGATGGAAACGAACGAACGTGAAACAAAAAGAATACGTGACGGTTCTAATGCGTGATAGTTTTTCTAATGACTGAATATCGAATCTCTAGATGACTTGAATTCATCTTGAAAGTTCTTCGATTTAAGAAAGTATTATTTGCATTTATTTTTTACGTGCAATAGCGAGTATAAAACAAAAATAAAAGTGAAGTACCCTGCATTGACGAATTATTTAAGCGCAACGAGCCGTGTACGACGGTCTGGACACGCGAGTGTAATCATAAGGACTCTAAAAAGTATTCACGACGATCGTACTGTTAATTCAGCAGCTCAACTTAAGTATCGTAAAGTTCTTACGATAGGTTAGCCGATAATAAGACTAGAGTAACACATGTCCCGTGATTGAGATATAAGAAAATTAATAATGATATACATACTTACTACCGTACGATTTCGTTCGCGTCATAGCGGTAACGAATTACTTTTCGATTCGCCCGCGTAATTTTATTGTACGAGCCGAGATAAAAGTGCGCTGTAGTCAAATCTTTGGGAAGACACGGAAGACGAGAGAACTCGGATGCTGGAGAAAACGCGAATTCTAAGCAGCGGAGGAGCCATGGAGCAAATCAAAAAAACGTTAC